TAGGCATATTGAATAATTTGAGCTTACCGTAGTAAAGTATGTGGCATTTTTATTAATAAGAATATCACATATTTTACTACGAAAAAGCAATATTTTATGACAGAAAATGTTATTCTTTCGCATAACGGTATAGGTATAGTTGTAATATAGTACATTTAAAATTAGTATAAGTGGACTTATTTTTGTAAAATTGGAATATTTAATTCGCTTTTGAGTCCAGGGCTTCTTTGTGGAACTCTGCTCCCTTTTTAGAATAAAATAAATTTAATCCTTCATAATAGTCATCCTTGATCATACTCTCATGAATAAAATCAACGCTATTTTGTTCCATTATTTCCTATTGTGTTCATAATTTCGAAACAAATTTATTCAAAATATGTTAGATAAACTTAGGTTAGATATACCAATCCCGCATAAAATATTTTGTGAAATCTGACTAGCCTTCATTAGGCATTTTGCAGAATGACCGAAAACAAGTAGTCTTTTTGCGGAAATGTACATCAAATATTGTCATTCTTTAATATGCCTAATCCTTACTAGGCATTTTCTAAAACGACTGGAAACAGATAGGCACTTTGTACAATTTCGTCCTTTTTTTTAATGCAGGCGTTTTGTAATATGCCTAGTCCTTGTGTAAAAAGCCCAATTATTCGATACGCCTGCGACATATTATATATAGGCACAGATAAGGCCCCCGTCAAACCTAGGGTATTTATTTTTCAATTGGTTGAAGTGAAATTTGGTTGAGGGGTTAGTTTTTACTTCAAATTAGAAAAAAAATGACATTTTTAAGCTAGAGATGATGTTCTAGAATTGTAGCAACCACGTTAAATCGTATACATTGAAACTATAATAACTATAAAGAAATACAACAAACAGGTTAAATTTTGAGAATTAGGCTTGTTAAATAACATACCGGGTGGTGCATCGGTGTTGGAAACAAGAAATCCCATGCAAATTTAAAATTATCCAAATATTGGCTCCCTTACTGATTTTACAGCGAAGTCGTAAATAGATTTTTTAAGGTCTGGGTATGCTGACACATGCCAAATTTGAATAATTTTGGGCAAGCCGTTTTTAACTAATTTAAGAAAAACTGCATCATTTTGCAATTAATACTGAACAGTTAACAATGCAAAACCTACTACTACTACTACTACTGCCATTACTCGCTGACGAGTATTTGACACGCATCTGGAGATAGTTACGCAATGCGTTTTCTTTCGTGAGCTTTTCTCTGACTGAAAAGTCCGATACGCGATGTTATCTCTCTTCCGCACCCTGGACATTCAAAAATATCATTACTTTGTTGACTCTTTACTTTTTAGTTGTCGTTAACTGAGTTCACAATTCTTGTCCATTGAGTTCTATTGTGCGCTGCTTCCTCCCACTGATTCTATATGCTTCCCTTTTAAGTTTTCGTGAAAAATATCCTTGTACCTTTTAAATTGCCCACCCGGTTTCCTCTTACCGTCTGCAAGCTCACCGTAAACGAGAGATTTCGGTAGGCGGTTTTCTTGCATCCTGCATACATGACCAGCCCATCTCAAGCGGGATTTAGAAATCATGACTTCAGCGCTCTCGCAGATAGATTTTTCAAGGACCGATACGTTTGAGACATGGTGGACATCATTTTACTCTTAACAGTTGTCTACGATGTCTCTATTGCAACTTGTTTAATGCGTTTGTGTGCCCAGCAGGTTTCGATTTGGACATGATGGGGATCATTATTGCTCGCTACACTGCAAGTTTCGTTTTTCTACTCAAGTCATTATTGTAGAAAATCCTGCCTTTTAATATCCACAATGCTCTTTAGGCGCTGCTAATTCTGTACTGAATTTCAGAATCGATATTGGCCTTTTCTGAAATCTTAGAATTTCTGAAAATGCAAAATTAGGCAGATACCAACGCACCTTAAGTTGTTAACTTATAATTTTGTCTTTTTAAATTATTTTTTCTTCTCTTTGTCTTTTGTTTAGTTTGAAAGTTTTAAATTACAAAAATGCATATCGGGCACACTAACCGTAGGTACTATAACATAATGTAGAGTTAATGTAGACACCACAACAAATTACATTCAATCATATGTTGACAACTTAAGGTAGGTTGACATTTGCCTGGTTTTGCATTGTTGTTCAGTTTTAAAGATAAATACAATTTTTCTTAAATTATTTAAAAACTAATTGATTGTCTAAAATTATTCAGATTTGACATATGTATTCAGCATACACAGACATTTAATAAACCTATTTACGACTTTCCTGTAAAATTAAAACGTGATCCAATATTTAGATAGTTGCATGGCTAAATTTGCATGGGATTTCCTATGATTCCAAGGACGATGCACCACCCGGTATACTAGTAATTTTCATGAGAATATTCTTATACACATACAAGAATTTCAATAAAAAATGTTGTCATATCACTTCTTAAAAATATATTTATTATTCGTTGGTGGGTCCAGTGATAACCTATGTGTAACTCTGACCTATATACATTAGGCGTCACACATTCTAATTGAGATAAAAAAGCAAAAATATTAAATTAAAAATTCTTTAGTTCAAAGAATTAAAGCTCAGCCGACATTAATTTTATATAATAACTATATACAGTGAAGTGAATATTAGTCTTAAAAGTATTCTAAAAATAACATTCATTTTCATTATAGACTAGCTTCAATAATGTGAAATTTCATTTCAGACAATGCTGAAATTAAAACGCTAATAGTGTCTTTTCTTGTCATTTATCTGTCAGCTTGAAATATTCACAGCAGAGATTTTAGGAAATTAAAACTTGAGCTTATTTCTCTTGTCTTCCAACTTCTTCTTCCAAAGAATAAAGTAGTGTGTAGAAATTACAAAAAATAACGGTAGATACAAAGCAATTTCATTTAAATTAATTTTTTCGTTGGAAAAAGTTGCGCCCAAAATGCAAAAACAAGACACATTAATTCATAAAGCTATTTGTATTCGGCTGAAGCTAGAAATAACTTTTCTTTAACTAATTTTGTATTTCGGATTGTATGTGGTCCATACACTTATGTTTTTCATAAATATTAAAAAACTCACTACACGAACTAGTAGACAGAAAAGACATTCTAATAAATAACACGAAACTGGAAATAGTAGAAGAATAGGAACTGGAAATAGTAGAATAGTAAAATAGTAGAATAGTAGAACTGGAAATAGTAGAAGTATAGGAACAATTTGGAACAACTAATACACAGCTCGGTATCTCTACTAACAGAAATCAACCGAAGAATTAAGTTAGCATAAAGTACTTATGGAAGAAACTCAATCAAATCTAAAATGCCACTTTAACTAAAGAAGAAAACATTCGACCAATGTGTACTACCAGTCATGACGTATGCATGCGAAACCTGGACTCTTAAAACGGATATTATAAGAAAACTACAGGTAGCACAACGCTCAATGGAACGAAATATGTTGGGTATAACCAAGAAAGACCGTAAAAGAATAGAGTAGATACGACAAAAGACCCAGGTAATTGATGTCATCCACAGAATCAATTTCCCCAAGTCGCAATGGGGAGGATACCTGGCAAGAAGGGCGGACAACAGATAGACCACAAATATTACAGCATGGTACCCGCGAGGAATTAAGAGATCTAGAGGAAAACCAAACCTGAGATGGGACCATGATATTAGGAAATTAGCAGGGATAACTTGGGCCCGCATTTAGCCAACAATAGACAAAAATGAGCCCAACTACATAGTTGAAAATAACTTAATGTTAAAATCTAGAACAAAGTCCAAACCGCTGTCAAAAAAATTATTTATTAGTGACCGGTTTCGGCAATTGAAGCCATCATCAGACCTTTGTCAAAAACAGCTGTTCGTTTGACTTTATACATAAAATTTCAATTTTTTTGGTTTGGACTTTGTTCTTGATTTTAACATCAAGTTTTTTATTGAATAATTGTTTTTTATTGTGAAAATGAACAAATTCTATAACATAATTGAAAAATGTCTGAATAAGCTGAGAATGATGATGGTGATTAATAACCTTCACAGAATTTTCTTATAACTAACTATTTACTGTCATTTTAAAAAACAGCATTTGAACGCCAAAAGTCAAACCGTAGTCAAATGAGAAATGAATCAACTCGGTTGATCAACTGACATTGATGACCATATTACATTTGCACGAAATGAATTATTCACATGACTTCAATAGTTGGCTTGATTAGTGTAAACGCTTAGGAACATTTTGTAACGTTTTTAGTTCGTTACATGTCTTTGTATATGATATATGATGTCTGGCGTATCATCACCGGGAAGTGATAACGTCCTTCCCTCTTGTTCAGGCCGGATAACTTATTTGACGCGCTTGGCGTAGTTCTAACGTTCAATTCTGATCACGACAGTCACGACAATCGCGACTATCCTGTGCTGCTCTGTGGGCATTCATTTTCAAAGTTTCGCGCTTCCGCGCTTAACTTCTCTTTGGCTTTGGCCGTTCTACTGTCACCATCAAAAAGGCCCTGCTTAGAGAAACTGCAATTATTTAAATCTGGCTGTATAATTTGAATCAGCTGCTATTTCGAAGCTACAGGTAAAAATGAGATATTATCTTTTTTGATTCGTTATTATTACTGCGTATTTTTAGGGTAGAGTTACGGATGTCCCAACCTAACTTGTATTTGTATTTTGCTGGCACGTTGGAGTTCGCAGTGGTAAGGTTTAAAAAAAAACGGTACAATTTCTGACAAAATACATGCGTTGTCATGGTGACATGTCGAATAAAATCATTTTGATTGGTTAAATGCTGCTAGTGTGAAATGTTCAAGAGAATATTTCTATCTAAAATTTTAAATAAATCCGATATATTATTACCTTTCGTTGAAGTGTAACAATTTCGATTAGATATTCGGCATTGAAAAAGAACAGAACCGCACTGCAGGTTGCGATATTTTTTCGATAACCTTCCTTGATCTAATTATTTCATTCCAAAGCCGAGAGCTTTAGCACACATAACATACAGTAAGATACGAACGGTTATTGGGTGAAATTGTGGCAATATAAAGTTATAACTTGTTCGAACTAGTATAGTCGAGTAAGTTTTCACTATAAATCTGAAATTGACGCTATATATAAAGTGATAAGAAACAAATGGATGAAGCAAAGCGATCGTATCATTTGAGGACTCTTCTAACTGAATAATAAATAAGTAATAAGTCGGTTTGCGGTGCGTGAAATACTCTTTATTGTCTATTATTTAAGCCAAGCATTAATTAAATTGCTTATCTTGATTTTATTTGTCGCGGCAGAGAGTTAAGATTTTTACGGTGTCGTAGAGATATAGTTGGTGTGCGTTCGTGAGACACGGATTGCAAGTCGACGGAGGCGTTGAGAACTTCATTTCTGCTAAATTGGCCCGCTTTGAAAGAAAACAGGTAATTAGCACTCATTTTACCGCGAGTGGATTAGCTTTAAACACCATCTTTATGTACAGTTCGGAAGCAGTCACCCTCATTATTTATTTCAACCGGGAAAATTAGATTTAGATAATTTAGATACCGTAAATTTTTGATTTTCTAAGTTTCACTGTTCTCTTCAGGATCATTTCTATTTAGTAGTATTTAAATAAATATATCATTATATCTCTTTTAACCTCCTTTTATCGCGAACACCAGAGGCAACGGAGACGTTTAAAATTTACACAATCTCAGACTAGGCTAGAAACGACCGCTGAAACGAGTGCCTTTAGTGTTGCTTGAGGGTCTGTGAAAATGACAATTAAACGGTGTAATCTTTCCTGCTTTATTATTCCTTCCTTAGTAATGGAATGTCGTCATTTCCGCCTGGAAAATTGTGATATATTTGGATAGGCTTACGAGGAAAGATATTCCTTGTTTCAGCCCTACTATTCCAGCTCCTACGCTTTCCAATATTCTTGGATCATTTGTATTCCAGGTTGCCTCAGCTTGATTTTTGTACACTATTTATCCATTGTTCCCTAACTGGTATAATTGTTATATTTAATTTGTTTTTAAAGCTATACCTTTTAGTTGTTGCAACTAGCGGTATTCCCAATAGTTTGCCTGCTTTAAGCTCTTGGATTAGCATATGTATCTGGCTTTATGTGCAGCTGGCAATGAGTTAACCATTCTGCACCAAAAGCTTTAGCGAAAACAATGTCTGTCTAGTTTCTAGTCCCTTAATAAATCCAAACTGCATCTATCCGCTGATTTCTTCACATTTATTATAGATCCTCCGATGAATTATTCTGAAGAACGCGTTAAGTGCATGACTCATAAGGCTAATAAGTCTAATGTGTTCACATTTCTTGGGGTCGTTTTTCTTGGGGATGACAACAAAGGTCGATTTAAACAAATCTTCCGGTAATTTGTTGGAGTCATATATTTTGTTAAACAGATGCGTTAAATGGTTTATATCAAGACGTTTTAAAATGCGGCATATATGTCATCATGCCCCGGAGTTTTACCATTTTTAATGGTCCAATAGCTTGTTCTACCTCAGATCTGATGATACTAGAGGCACATTTCAAGAGAGGCACATTTCACACACAAGTGTCTTAATTTCCTCCTCTTATACAATAAGTTTTTCTTGATCATTCATAAGTGATGTTAACGGTTTTTTTCTACTACTTCCAGTTATTGGTTATAGCTTGGTTATTTGTTTTAGCTTTTTATATAAATTAAAGCGTCTGTAAAGATTCCCAGCTTCTTCACATTCATTCGTGATCCAATTCACTTTGGCATTTTTTATTTCGTTTCTTATGATTCGGCTGTATTTTTTGTATCTAACGGTTAAATTTTTTACCAATAGACATTGTCTTTTATCGTGATCAAGGGCGGTTTCCGTTGCCATGTTTAAATTGGTTTTAAGTTTTTTCCAGATTTCTGCAGGTTTGTCTTCGGCGCTAGGATTATTTATCAAGCAGAGTTTTTCAAGCTTATTTCTCATGGTTTCCTTTGTGATTTGTTCGATTATACAACTCTATGTATATTTTTTCTATATAGAAGGATGTGATTAATAAGTGATTATCGCTTGGTGGCCATATTGTAATTGTCATTTTTTGATATATTAATTCAGAAGTCATTTCTGTCAGTTCCACAAAAATATCCCGTCAATTCTTATTACAAAATGGCAAAATGCTTAAGATAAGAAGGATATATGTACAGGGTGGGTCAAATTGGACGCTTTTAAAGGGAAACACCTTTTTCTATAGGAGACGAAAACTAATATCGATGTCTGGAGCTCAATTTTTATCAAAAACATGATGGTGAAAACCGCACATCGATATCTGTTACCGTTTCGGAGTTACGGGGTGTTTTTCAAAAATGTGCATTTTTAACAAATCGCTGTAACTTTTTTGCTATGGAAAATTTTGTATTTTTGTAAGCACATTTTCAGAGCATCTTTTTACGTAGAATTTAATGGTTAAGTATAATTTTTTTTAAATTGATAATTTAAGAGTTATCAACAGAAAAATTGATTTTTTATTTTGGATAACCTGTATATTTTTAATTAGCTAAAAAGAACTTAAAATTACCTTTCCAAAAATATAATATTTTGTTACTCCCCTTCGAAATACAGAATTTTTAAAAGTTTGGCACTTTTAACTAGTAGGTTTTGGACCCCTTATTGATGATCTGCCCCTAATGGAACTCGAAAACATATTTTTCCAACAAGACGAGGCACCGCCTCAGATTGCTGAAGTTATTAGCAAATTTTTGCAGCCAATTTCGGGAGTAATTGAATAGCTTACCGAGATCCCAGCCGTTGGCCGTCGACGCCGCCGGACTTAGAGCCTATGGATTTTTATCTTAGCGGAAGAATAAAGATTCTTATTTTTAAATTGCCCGTATAATCTAGACAAGAATTAGAAGTACGTAGCGGTTATGCGAGGATATTTTTCACCCTCACTGAGTTAATGAATTCCACGAGAAATGTTCTAAAACGGTCCCGTCTTTCCGTAGCAGAAGACGGTCGATATGTCGAACACCTGTAGCAAAATCTCATGTCTTGGTTTGCTATTTATTTTTATTCTTATTAGATATAGTTTAAATATGTTTCGATAATATTAAATATAGTTTAAATTGTTACAAAATTCTGCATCTCTCATTACAAATATTATTTGCGTTTTAATTCCTACTCACAGCTAGAATTTTTTTGCATTACAGCCGGCGTCGTTCAAAGCCTACTTATTCAAAGTGGGTGAGTTTTTAAAAACTCTATATCTCCAAGAGAAATCGAGCAAAATATCAAGTGTGCCATATTTTTTGAAAGGTAATTTTAAATTATTTTCAATAAATTAAAAACATACAGGGTGTCCCATATAAAAAATCAAATTTTCTGTTGGTAATTCTTAAACTATTAATTTTAAAAAAATTATACTTAAACCATTAAATTCTACGTAAAAAGATGCTTTGAAAATTTTCCATAGCAAAAAAGTTACAGCGATTTGTTAAAAATGCACATTTTTGAAAAACGTCCGAAATGAATACTCCGAAATGATAATAGATATCGATATGCGGTTTTCACCATCATGTTCTTGATAAAAATTGAGCTCCAGACACCGATATTAGTTTTCGTCAATAGATCTCCTACAGAAAAGGGTGTTTCCCTTTAAAAACGTCCAATTTGACCCACCCTGTACTTTATTTCGTTGTATAATCTTTTGAATACAACTCTATATTTCGGGATTACCTAATACTTTTGCCTGGCACTCAATGCGATACCGGCAACACTATTCGGAGTCGTAGTGTTGCCGGGTAACGCATTTCGTTTCAGGTAAAAGTATTATTCGGTAATCCCGAAACATCTTGTGGTATTACATTCGAAAGATTGATATTCTTGGCTAAACTGAATGAGCATATCTCCACGCTCGTTTTGCTCCCCAGTTCGAATGAGCCTGTTACCCCTGGAAGTACCGTTCCGTATTACCATTCTAGATTTCTACTAAGGAGCATTCTAAATCCTACCACAGTTTGTATCCAATAGGTTATGGTAACTGTTTTGACATTCTTCCATTTTTCACGGGAAATGATAGTAATTTGAACTAACATTTTAAAAATACCCTGTGGACTAATAATAGCTACTTTATCAAACATTAACACGTCGGAAGTAATTATGTTTTATTTTAAAGCATTGCGCGAGTTTAGAAAATTATAATAATATGCAATATATTTAAACATACGTACGTATTTTAAATAATACAAGCTTTAAATAGAATTCGACAATGGTGTCGACAGAACGTATGTTTATAAACAGAGTTAGTATAATAATTTAATTTGAGACATAATCTAACCTTAACTGATTAATAAAAAAATAGTTATTATGAGTTACATATTGATATAGTGCAATCAAAAGCGAAAATTCTGTCTGGAAAACTGGAAAAAAGGCAAGTACTAAAAAATAACAAATCATTAAGATTATTTTAAACTTTTTATGAAGTCAAAAGTTTTCTAATCCTAAAAACCCGTTTTTAAAAGTGATAGTAATGGTATTATAGCCTGTTTATTTTCTACAAAATCTATATTCAAAAAGAATTTTTACTGGAAAGAATTATACGCGCGTAATGACATCGATAATTTCAAAGGCACTCTGACTATTTTTTCAATCATGCGACACCTCAGAATATGTCCATTTTAAGTATAATAAATATTCTTAATAGACAACCTTTAGTCAATAAGTAAAGGAATTTATTTTTAGATATTATAAAATGTAATTGATGCAAAGGAATCTTTTCTTAATTAAACAATAAAATATTTATTAGCATTTAACAGTGCAAATTAAATGATTCATACACTAAATAATGTGTTGTATTAAACGAAGTATGTACTATACAGGGAGATATCTCATAATAGTAATAAGATATGTAATGTATTAAAAAAATGAAAGTACTTTAATAAATAGAAATGTCTTTCCTAGAGGTACCTATATGTAATTCTAATCTTAATTATTTAACATTTAAAGGTAAAGAAGATATGTATAAGTACAGAATGAATTTCAAATTAATTTTTTAATATTCCGAAATTGTTTATTCCTCAAAAAATGTCTCATGTCAAGTTTAGAAAAATTTAGATAATTTGCTGATAACTATTCCATTTATAAAAGTAAATTTCAAAAATATTATAATTTTAGACATTTTGATTAAATGAAATTTTTTGCTTTGATGTATGTTATCATAAAAATTTATTCAATCACAAAACCATAAAATAAATAAAATATAAGCTTTCAAGCCTTATATAGCCTCACAGAGTGTTAAGAATAAACATAAATTTATCATACTTGATAGAAGTTATTTATTATTTATTAGACGTTTTATTCATTGGCATGTCCACATAACCTGCATTTAATTTATGAAGACACAACTTTACCAGAATAATTTATATTCAACATAAATTGGATGAGAATTTGTACAAAA